TGGCGATAGGAATGGATGACCTAGAAGGTCCCTTCAAATAGCAAAGTCTTTCTCATGCCCTTCGCATTCAGATCATTGTCATTGCACACAATGTAAATGAAGACAGCTTGCACTAAGTTCCACATTATTTTTCTTGAAGATTTTTTAGATGATGCTTCAAGAAGACCTAATGCTATTTCAACAGGATAGATTAAGGTACAGATGTAATCCCACAAGGCTACTTGGATGGGGATTCCATCTTTCTAACACATTCACATCACTTTCTCAGATACATTCCTGACGTACTTTGCATTGAGTACACATTTTTAAAAAGCGTCTAATTCCTGGTTATCAAGACCTACTAACAGTTTTCTGTCTGCTCTTGTGACTCATTGGTAATTGCTGTCTCTGGTCCCTCCTGTGCGGTAGATTAGAAAGAGATGTGAAATTAGGCTGAAGCCTTTTGGTTTTGTCCATTGCCAGACAAGGAAGCGGCTGAAGTCTGACCTCACATTCCCTGAAGTTAAAGAAAAAGTTTTCTCTATGATTATGTATACCAGTTCCCGTCACTGTATTCTTGAAATGTGGAAGAGCTCTTTGTGTTAATAGTGTGTGCTGTCTTTGAAAGTCTGCTTAAACAGGCATCACTTGCATTTGTGCTGATTGCTTTAAGATAGAAGATGTACTACATTATTTTTAAGAAAGAAAAGAAATAGGAAAAGATCCACAACATACTGATGATGATAATTCTGAATCACCCTGCCTACCACGCTCCTGATATTCCCAAATCCGTTCTGATACTACGTTGGACCATCTCAACAATTTCTGTGAACATTAGTTACCTTTCAGTTCATTCATCAAAAATTTAAATCTAAACAAATCAAATCATGACAAACAAACCCAAAACTGGCCTACCCTGAAACTACATAGTTGAAACATAAAATCTAAACGCTTAAATTTGATTTCTTTTACTTGCCAATATGTTTCATAAATGGCACTACATTTTGGCCTTGATCACTATAGCAATATCAGGAACCCTAAAGTGTGCTATCTTTTCATGGGTCTCCAAATAGTATGAGCTGATGCCCTTTCAGAAGCCCCAGCAAAGAAGAAAATCTCTTGAGAACTCACAAGTTCAAAACTGACCTTTTGTACATTTCTACCAAATATTTTCTAGTGTTTTATTTCCATACTGTATCATTATTTTGGGAATTTTTCCACAAACAACTAGAATATTCAAAAATTTAGGTAGTATTAAACAGTAGGAGGCCATAACTCTGCTTTGAACTTTATTCTTCTAGGCCTGCCATTCCAAGAAGTGCCACAATGCACTGAAACTAAATCCCCATAATGGCATTTTTTTAAACAAAAACTCCTACATAAGTTTTGAGATATTTTAACTCCAGATCAAAATCTTGGACTCTGTGTCCACAATGCCAAACATTCGGAAGAAGATTAGAAAATAGAGTTGAAAATGCAAATGTTCTAAAGTTTCTAGATTTTTCACTTTGTGTAGACATCGTCGAACTAAATCATCACCTTGCATAATAGGGTTTGGTTTTGATGGTTTGTTTTTATCAGCACCAAGTTACATTGCACTATCGAGGCTAAGAAAATCCTGGTGGAAAGGTGAGTTTTCGTTTCCAGTAGTGGATCATTATTTGTACATAGCAAATATCCATTCCCCAGTTGCCCCTTTCTCATCTCTTCCCCTGGCATTAGTGTTAAGGAATAGAATACTGTATCATAGTTTATTTTAAAATTTCAGACATTACCCTGAATCAGAATTTCAAATGTTAAGTGACAGCAAGAAATAAATCTGCATCAGAAAAACAGATGACAGCTTGGATGAATTTTGAAATTGGATGTTGTGAAACATTTTTTATGCATTTTAGCTGTCTTATTTACAATGTTAATGTAACTATGGAGATGCCAAACATAATATTGGAAGGGAAAGCTATCATTTTGCTATGCCTACAAGTGTTTACATTGTTTAAATCTCCAGTTTTCTAAAGTGTTTTCAATTGTCAAAAATGTGCTGAAACTGGGTAAGTCTCACCTGTGTGATATAAAAGAATATAAAAGAAGAAAATATTCTTGGCATATTTTCTAGTCCAAAACTTTTGGTTACTTTCAAGTATTATTTTTCCTACGTACAAAAAGCCTTCTGTTGTCTACAGTTGTTCTAAGCCGTAGTTAGAAATGATTTGGTAGATTCTGAGCCAAGGCTTTTCCACATGGTCACTGCCATGCCCTGGACTATATTATTTATCACTGTCAAAATGTGAATAATAAAACATTAATAATAGTAGGATGCCTGCTTGGTCCTCATTGACACAGTCATTATCCATCCCTCTTCCGAAACACCCAATTCTTTGACGCTTTTGCCATCAGCCTATAAAATCTCTAGTTACCTATCATCACTATCCCTCATTGCTTAAGTATTCCAGCTCCTGGCTCACTGTCACTGTCTCCAGCACCACCTTTTCTTAACTCCTGGTGATTTCAAGATCCACTGGGACAATCCTATAAATCCTGGCTTCTGAGTTTCTTGATCTTGCACAGTGAAACTTATCAATTATTACACTGCCTCCTTAATTCATACCAGTCAATTCTTCTCATTTGCTCTGGGTAGATCCCATCCAACCCCATCAAATAAAAGCCATTGTCCCAACAATCTTTTCTTCTCTACTGCATCACCAATTTTTCCCATTTCATTGGAGGATTTCACTACATAGTGCTATCTTCCATCTATAAATACTCACCTGAGCCCCGCCCCCCCCACCACACTCTCTCTACCATTTTACTTATCTGCTCCCCTTCACAGACAAACTCCTCAGAGAGAATTATATACACTTACAGTCTTCAATTCTTCCCCTCCCTTAGTCTCCTGAGCCAACCGAAATCAGGCTTTCATCCTCACCATAGTAGATCTTGCTAAAGACACCAGTGATCTCCACGCTGTCAAATGCAATGGTCAGGTCTCTGACTTCATGCTGTTTGACTTATATGCAATCTTTCACATAGCTGATCACTCCTTCCTTGAAATGCTTTCTCTGCCCGAGACATTCCTCTCATGTTTCTGGCCACTTCTCAGTCTCCTTTGCCAAGTTCCTGGAGTTTCCAGCATCGGGCATCCCATCTCTAAGAGATCGCTTCTAGTCTTAGGATTTTAAAAAACCATCTATATTTGTGAGTTCTTTGTATATTTTGGGTATTAGTCCCTTACTGGAAGCGTTGTTTGCAAAGATCTTCTCCCATTCAGTTGGTGGTCTCTGTCTTGTTGATGGTTTCTTTTCCTGTGCAGAGGCTTTTTAGTTTGATATACTCCCATTCATTTACTTTTGCTTTTACTTCCCTTGCCTTTGAGGTCAAATTCATAAAATCCTCTCTAAATCCAAGGTCCATGAGTTTAGTACCTCTGTTTTCTTCTATGTGATTTATTGTTTCAGGTCTTATATTTAGGGCTTTGATCCATTTTGAGTTGACTTTTGAATTGTATACTTGAAACTTATATAATTTTATTAACCAATGTCACCCCAATAAATTTAAAAATCATCTACACGCTGACAATGCTGACATTTTTATCTCCAGCCCTAACCTTTTTCTTCATGCCAGAGTTATGTGTCTAACTTCCTACCTGACATCTTCATTTGGATGTGTAATTGGCGTTTTGAACTTGACATATCCAAAACTAATTTGCACCAGTGTTCTGCCATTACAATCTTCCCTGTGTTAATAAAGGGAAACTTCGTTTTTCCAAACCAGAAAACTTTGTAGTTACTCTTAATTGTTCTTTCACATACCATATCCAATCCATTAAAAAGAAAAAAATCCTGTTTCTCTAGCTTCAGACTATATCCGCAATCCAATCTGAGTTCACACCACATCTTGCCTGCGATGACATTTTTAAAACATATCAGGTTATGTCACTTTTCTGCTCAAGTCCTCAATACCTTCCCATCTTATTCAGAATGTCCGTCTCCTTACAGCAGTCTATGAGGCCCAAGTAAATCTGACCTACCCTTTACCCCATTCCCCAACCTCCGTTACCTCTGACCTCATCTACTATTTCCCTATATCACTTTGCTCCAGCCACACTGCCCTGCATAGTGTACCCAGAATACCCTCAGCATATTCCTGTCTCAGCGTCTTGGCTCTGGCTGTTTTCTCTGACTAGAAATCTCTTCCCCCACATATCTGCATGACTTTCTCCTCCCTTCCTTTATATCTCTACAAAAATATTCCTTTACTAGCAGAGATCTATATAAAATACTCTCCAATCTCCCACTCATTTTCTGCTTTATTGCCTTTCAAAGCACTTATTAATATCTACTTTGTTCCTGGCCTATCTCCTTTACTTATAAGAATGCCACTCAGAAGCAAATAGTAGTCACTCAGTAAGTATTT